AAAATCACATATTTTTATGGTCCATGAAGTGAATGATGTGATGTGTTCTTGGATCTAAGAGAGAACATTGAATCTAAAATACCTACTAGATTTAAGGATATCCATCCATTGTGCTTTAAAATTCAGAGTGATTCATCTTCCATCCCTCTGTCTAAATATCAAATGTAGAGTGAGTCAAATGTAAGTGAACTGGATTGTCTGTACAATCAGTTCCACAGAGACACAGCTCCAGGAGCTGAAATGTGACAGGAAAAGTCTGGGCTTGATCAGACATTGCCTTTTCTGGCCCTGCAATCCATTAAAATGATGAGAACAGTGGTCATCCTCCCACAGATGGAGAACAAAGTCCCAGCTGCAAATGGAAGAGGAGATTTAGGGGACATAGTAGTAAAGATTTAGGAAAAAGATTTTAAGGAAAGGGGAGACTAAACAGCCATTGGTGTGAAGCTTTTAGAATTATCAATAGAATTTTTAATGCATATTTGTATTTAATAAGTATGTAGGATGAAAGTGGTCTACAAATAACTTCCACATTCTGATAATATCAAACAGGTTAATACTGAAATGAACATTTTCAATTATGGAAAATGATTATTTACCACATCTCTTAAAACATCGTATTTTGTTTACAGGATTTTAAAAACCAATGTGATTAATAAGGTATGAGGAATATAGACAGTGAGAAACCAACCATCCAGGATCAGATTAAGGTCATTATTCCTAAAATTTGGCTGTTCAGATACATACTGGTATGGAAAATGGGTGATCCTACTTTATTTGGTGAATTTCTAGACACATCCAAGGGGTGTAAAACTGCAGATCTTTGCATCCTGAAGGGTTTGCTTTTGTTTCTTAAGACAACGTCTGTGGTGAAAGGATTAAAAACCTGCTTACATGATTTAAATATACCTTATTAACAATTATGGGTTGTTCAAATCTATCATATTATCATTTAGTATAATTCTCACTCTTTTAGATGGAATCTGCAACTCATTTTGGGTCTATATATTATTATTATAATTTATGATATCTTCATAACAGTGCATTTGCTCTAATTACAAGGAGAGCACTCTAAAATACTTCCATTCTGTCATGGATCAGTTGTTCTGTCTTTTTAATCACGGACATGTAGAACAAAAGGAAAAATCTGAAAGAAATGGATTAATTAGACTGCAGCTTTATTAACTTCTTCCATTTGGGAACTGCTCAGGAGTGGTGCATCCAATCAATTTGTCATTGTTCTGGTAATTATTTCCAGGTGTTTGGTGTATTGTCAGCATCCCATACTGATCACAGCTATTCTCTGCATTGCTACTCAGTGCCCGTCTTCTATCTCTTAATAAGCACTTCAAGGCTTTGGAAAAAATGATATTTCCTCTGTCTATTAACCATTGAAAGCCTTGGTTCAATGCTTTCCTCACAGGTAGATGTTTTACCCTAAGTCTGCTCATGAACTTCCAGTAGCTTTTTTTGGTGACTTTTGCAGTCATCTGTTGACAGATGTTTGCAGTTGTTAAGCTCTGGGGACATGGTGGCATTGTTGGGGTGTCCTGTGCAGGGCCAGGAGCTGCACTCAGTAATCCCTACAGTTCCAGCCCAGGATATTCTGGGATTCCATGAGTATTTCTCATAGCTGCAAGTGGTCCTAAAAACCTGCAGTTCTTATAATTTGTACTCCAGAAGCCGAATTGTTTCATGGGGCTGCTGTAATGATTATAGAAATGGATATTGTGTGCAATTGGAGGGGGCTGAAGTACTGCCCTTAGCCTGTCAGGACTCCTCACAAAAATTCACAAAGCCAAAAAGGAACAATAGGGACAAGAGTGGAATAAGAACACAGTGAAACTGAAGGACAAATGGGTCATGAGAAAAAAATGGATTTAAATTATCTACAAATACAGGCAGGATGGCATTAAAGTGTCCCTAATGAAAGGAACCTGTCAGATTCTGGAGTTCATTTTGGAGTCAGTTTCTTATATAGGATTAATTGGGGTTAAATGTCTGAGCTGTTTCTAAGATGGGAGCTTGATAAGTTTATGAGCGTAGCTATTATCATATTAAGATTAGTATTAATTACATTATCACTTGACTGACTGCAGTGGCAAGCAAGCAGACCTGATGGCTTCAGATGTCTGTGTTTCTTGTGTTGACCCAATTTTCACTGAAAGTAATTTAATATAGATTACAGAACAACTTGAAATGCATTTGGAAAGAAATGGATAACTAAATGGAGGGTTGACTTTTTCCAGATAAAAAAGTTTCTCTAAAGAATAATTGAGCCAGCTGAAGCTCCACTGATACCTTTAGCCTAAGAGTAGTTTGATGCCACTGCTGTAAAAGGATTAAAACCTGTTAATTGGCACTGAGAGAGATGAGCCTTCCTCCCCATAACTGCTAGTTTCTTTGATTATTAGTTTCTAAATTACGAACTATTAGATTTTCTTAAGTTTTAAACAACCTGCTGTGAACTTTTGTACTTTTTTTTGGTTTGCTTATTTGAATATGTCTATTTAATAATTTCTACTTCATTGTTTTGGAGTTTATTTCACCTAATGTGAGCTAAGATTAACTATCTAATCCAAGTTCCTTTAAGGTTTTTTGGTTTTGTTTGTTTCTGTTTCCATTTGACCCTCTGTGCATTTTTCCTCTGCCACTGAGTGTTGATTTTAAAATCTTTTTGCAAGGGATATCTCCTTGGATATTCAAGTCTAAGAAGATAATTTTCCTTCTTGCTTTCCTGATGCCACTGGCCAATTATCAAATACTACCTCTTTCTTTCATAGTCCAATATAAATATTTGTGTGAAGCTGCACACTGCTAATTTGGCAGAAAATGATAAAATCTCTTCAGTACCAAAACGGAAGTTAAACAATTTTCAGGCTTCTGATTCCAAAATCAAAAGCTTGCTTTGGCTTCTGCTTGGATTTCTCTAAAATTCAGTACTTTCACTTGCAAGGGGTTTTCTGCTGGATGCTTGGAATCACTTCCATCTCATCTGAATCCTGCTTAGAGCTTAAAAAAGGGAAAAACCTTGCTGGGATTTCCTGTGGTTGTTTGTGTCCTCTTGGGTTCAATCAGCTCAGTATGCTCCAAGAGTGCACTTTGGAGCAAAGTCTTTATTTACTCTGGGACTCTTGGTTTCCTTTCATAAATAATTGGAGGGAAGATGATGCCTTACAATGTTACACTGCTTGGATGAAGCCAGTCCTGCACTGGGATCAAATTCCCAGCTAGGAAACTCACATCCAACCCTTGCTCACGTGCTGGGCTCTCAGCTGTTCTGTGGTTGCCCTCAATATCTCCTTTTACATGAAATATTGGAGTCACTGACTAATAATAATAAGAGGTTTATTCTGAATTTTTAGCACACTCTCAGCCAAAAGTTGTGGATAAACTTTTCAAGCAACTGTTTGAATTAAAGGATGTGTTAGAAAAAAATCTTTGTGGCATCAGAATTCCTTGCTCTTAGTTTCAGTGATTTTTGGCACACAAGTAAAACGCATGGGAAGGTAGGGACAGCAAACTGTGGTCCTCCTACAGAAACTTTGTTTTCTTTTTTACCTTGAATTTCAGCTCTGTGATGCTGAGCAATATAGCATTTAAGTATGTTTAGAAATTTGGTGTTCTCTTTTTTTCTAGCAATGATTTTTGTTAATTGTCTCCTAAGAAATTTGTAGAGAGTTTTGCCAACCCTATGGAAAGCTAAGAGGAATATATAGCTTTAGAAATGAGGCACTTAAATTGTGTTGTGAAATTTTATATTATCAGCTTATCATCCAAGATACTCTGCTTGCAAATTATAATTTGAACACACAGTCCTAATGGTAAATATAATAAGGAAAATAATTCTGATGGGAATTAATCACTGTGGCCGTCTTAAATCTCTCCCCCACTATTTGCATTGTCTTATGGGAAGTTTTGCCACCGGGATTTTTTTTTAATGTTGTTGTAATGGTCTTAAAAGCAATGTAAATATGCTTGGATTTCACATTAGGAGTACTTTATTTTTGAGATTCTGCACTGGAGACAAACTGGATTTTTTTTAACAACAGCAAAGATTGGGTTAATATAAAATCTGTGAATCATAGCCAGGCTGGGAGAGGTGTGGTTGTTCAGCTTGGAGAAGAGGAGGCTCCAGAGAGACCTTCCAGTGCCAAAATGGATGCCAGGAGAGCTGGAGAGGGACTTGAGACACAGCATGGAGTGGCAGGACAAGAGGGAATGGCTTCAAACTGCTGGGGTGCAGGGTTAGATGGGATATCGAGAAGTAATTCTTGCCTGTGAGGGTGGGGAGGTCTAGGGGGATACAATATAAGAAATTAAAGGTAGTATAGAAAGTGATCTTACCCCATTAAGGAGTTGCAGCTGAGTTAATTACTGAAGATTGGGAACAGGCCTGATGTTAACAGGCCACCGCTGTACACAATAAGAAGAGTGTTATAAAAGAGTGGATTGGTTGGCTGAGGGGGAGCTGGAGTCAGTTGGCTGCTGTGAGGACAAGGAAGAGTCAGTGCCTGGAGGAGATGCCTGCAAGAAACATCAAGGAGGTACAAAACTCTGGCAATATGGAACCCTCGCAATGTAATGACGATAGAACTCTTGCACTATAATGACAACAGGGAGGCCCTGGAAAGGTTGCCCAGGGAAGCTGTGGCAGTCCCTGGATCCCTGGAAAAGTCCAAGGAGAAGTTAGTGGGGCTTGGATTGCCCTGGGACAGTGGAAGGTGTCCCTGGAGTGGATCTGGATGGGTTTTAACATCCCTTCCAACCCAAGAGTTTTGTGGTTCTCTGATTTATTTTTTTTCCCAGCAGCAGTTACTTTATATACTTCGTGAAAAAATAAAACCCACAAGTCTGGGCTTTAAGATCCCTTCCAACCCAAGAGTTTTGTGGTTCTCTGATTTTTGTTTTCCCAGCAGCAGTTACTTTATATACTTAATGAAAAAATGAAACCCACGAGTCTGAACGCTAACCCGAGCGCCGTTTGTGTTCCGCTTCAGGGGAGACGATGCGCATCGCCTCGTCCGAGTTCGCCGATGACCCCTGCTCCTCGGTGAAGAGGGGCACCATGGTGCGCGCTGCCCGTGCCCTGCTCTCGGCCGTCACTCGCCTGCTCATCCTGGCTGACATGGCTGATGTCATGAGGCTCCTCTCACACCTCAAAATCGTAGGTGTTTTTCACCTTCTCTCTTGGGTTTGTGTGCTTTGGGCATGGAAAAAAGGATGAATCAGTTAGGGAGGTGACTGTCCACTGTCTGTAGTCTCTGCTTGGTTCTCTTGAAGTGCTGATCAGAGGTAGGAGTTAACACATTTCTGCATTAGTCTCATTCATTTTCTAATTATGCAGAAGTTAATATTTGAACATTTAAAGCAAATTTTGTGAGCTGTGAGTCTTCAGTGACTGGACTAATACTGCTGTTAAACAGCTCTCTGACCTAACTGAAACATTTGCTTCACTCACATCTTATCCCAGTTACTTTCCCAGTATTTTTGTGTTCTGGCACAATTTAGGTGCTATAGCTGTCTACTCTTCTTTTTTTTCTCTTCGTGACTTCTGAATATATCTAAAGATTGAATGTTTAATTTGGAGAGAGACAATAGTACAACTGTCTAATCAAAGAGTAAAGAGGAATTAAAGATTACCATGATAGTTTGGACAGATTTGTATTCACTTTTGACCACCACATTCACAATTTTATACAGGAGTATTAAAAAGATTTTCGGTTGAAACTACGAAATGCATTTTTCCACCTTCCCTAGCTGTTGCACTTACATTTTTATTGCAGAAACAAATAATGTAAAACCTCTGAAACAAAATAAAATTGTGCAGAAAATCATATACAAAATACTTAAAGCCTGCAGAGTGCATGTGTGAATTCAACAGAGGAGATGGAGGGTTGCTTCTTTTTAGCAACTGTTCAAAAAGTTGTTTGGTTTTTTTTTCCTTTTTTTTAGTTTGTCTTTTTGACAGTGCAACTGCAATTTGATGTTCTGGAAAAACAGAACCCTTCAACTTGCAAACTGTGCAGATAACCTGAATAGCTGGAAAACAGTTTTCATAAGGAAAGAGGCTGATTTTTCAGCACAGGTTCTAGTGAGCTCTGCTTTAATGGATAAAATGCTGCTCTCAGAATTGTCAGCACATGGCTCTGGTTACGTGCAGTGTAAGCAGTGTCTCTCTCCAATATGCTTTAAATTTTTCCTCTCTATAATGCTCCATGTAACTGTAATTCAGATTGTCCTTTCCTAGCAAGGCCAACACTTGAATATCATAAACAACAGCTTTTTTCTGAACGTTATGATGAAAATTTGTATTCAAGCTCTTTCATGGGAAATGAGAAATTCTGTTCTCCCATCTGAGATTTCTTTTGCAGCAGAGTACTCTGTTGTGTAAAATACAAATGTCCAGTGCTGGTTTGTAAGTGGGTGTATTTACTTGCACAGTTTGCACCCAGATTTGCAGGGGCTGTGTCTGGAAGTTGTAATCTCTGCATTTATCCAGTGGTATTACAAGTTCAGTTTCAGAAGTCAGTGATCTCAGTGGTTCTTTTCAGCAAAATTCAACATTCAACCTTAATTGTCATTTTTATTTTCATGTTAAAAAGGGTAATTTATTTCTGAGGATTGAACATGTAAATATCCTTATTTTACCACTTTACAGTGCTAACTGCTTTTAGACAAATGAATTACTAGGGGGAAAAATGGTTACCCTATACAAAATTGATGGAGGAAAAGCTATTCTATTGACTCAAAGGTAACCTTCAAAGACTTGTGTAAGTTACCCATAAAATTAATGAACTCAAATAATTCTGCATGTCAGAGTAATGAAGCCTGATTTATGCTGAATTGTGCTGTAATCAGTTTTCTCTGAAAGCATGTCAAAGGCTTCCCAGGAAATGGTGCATTTTAATTAGTGTTTTAGAGGGAGTATATGCAGGTGCTTTCTGGAAGGATTCTTGGTCATTGCATATCTTTTACACTGCTAAAATTAGAAATAGTGGTTATTGCAGAAGCTTTTGTAACACATTTAAAAACCATGTACCATTATAGTATGTGGTCATGCACACAGAGGATTATAGCTCTATTGTAATTAACTCCAGGCTAGTTAATCAGAGGAACAGATCAGTGGAAGTTGAGTGTTGTCTGAAGGATGGAGAATTTGCTCCAGTATGAACATGTAAAAAAGAAATTGTAATAAGAAAAATAGCATTAAAAAGGAGCTTGTGCTCCTGTCCATTCTAGTATTTCTCATAACTGATTTCTTCCTTTTGGAGTCTCTGGTCTGACTGACATGATAGAGTACGATCAGCATCCTTTGAAATCTGATTATCAGAGTGGAATCTCTGACAAAATTTTCAGGATTTCTATTTAATATGGAGCAGGACTTAAAAACAAAACAGGTATCAGTCTGTCATGCCTGTGCTTGGCATTACAAACATAATAAAGATGAAACTTTCTGGTATTTTAATGTAATGTAAATGTTTCCTGATAAAAATGGAAAATGGGCATATTTTGCAAGAAGTTCTGCAAGAGTAAGTTATTTAATACATTGATGCTTTTCCAATTTGTGTTAATGGTAAAGCAGTCAGTTCATTTTTAAAAAAAAAACACTGTTCTTAAGATTAAAAGAAGAGAGAACTTGAATTCTGAATAAGATTGTAGCTTGTAAATTGGCAGAACTTGGTTTATAATTTCCAGCATAACAGCTATGAATTTATGTTCCTGAATTATGCATTTTCCAATAGAAATGTATGAGTTTGCTACTCTACTGCCCTGTAATTTGTAAATCTGCAGTAAGTAGGTAAAAGCTCAAAATGAAAATATACTCTCTCAGTGGTAGGAAAACACAGAGCAACTCAAGCAATAAAAAGACAGGTTCTGCACATAATTGTGCCTTTCTAAACTGTTAGACACCAGCTACTGCTGAATTTATCAATTCCCAGCAATGTCTGGAGGGCTGCAGACCCTTCCTTGTCCCCATGCCAATAAGCCCTTGCCTTTTGAGGGGAAAATTTGTTATGCATGTTCTTATGAACTGCAGCTTTTAGCTGAACAACAGCTTTTAGCAAGAAGGATCAGTTCTTTTCAGTTGTCAATATTTTTGCTTGGAATTGCATTGTCTTGCAAGAGAGAGAATAACAACTTTGAATTTCCATCTAGTCACAGTAATGCTTCCTTTACTTATTGCATGAAAAGAGCATTTTATCCCTTCAGATATTTTTCTTGCTTTGCATAAGGTAAAGGTTCTCAATACATTTGGTGGAACAACTTGTTTGTGGAAGTAGGGTTTTATATTTTTGTCTGTTAGCTACAGCATCACTGGAAAAGTGCAGGTGTGGGTTTTTGGGTAGATTCTTTTCTCAGTGTTAAATAACTAAAGAAAGAAAGCTCATAGCTGAGGAAAAAAGAAATAATGCAAATATTCTGGTTTGAAGCTATCATTTGATTCACAAAGATAGAGGGTTTTGGATTTATCAGGGTAAATTCAAACCTTAATGGTAAGTTTGAATTTCCTTTTTAAATATTTCTTGTCCAGAAGTGATAACTGTCTTTGTTTTCCTATAAAGCCTGTACCACACATTAAGAACATACTTGTGTATTTTGTTTTGAACCCTACATATATTAAATATTTCATCAGATAAGTGTGGGTGGGGAAATTAAAACAGTGCTATCTTTGACATTATCTTTACATGATCCCAAAGCACACTAAATGGACAGTAATGCAGAGTGACAGCTGCTCTATTAAAAACCTAATTAAAGTTGATGGGACTCTCATAAAGCTTCTGTACAGTGATGGATGTGAAACCTAAATTGGGTCCATGTAAGACAGAGTATTGGATGGAGCAGTCACAGACTTTGTCAAAGAGTGGCTTCAAATGCTGACTGAGCTGATTCATTGTGTTGTAGGTAGAGGAGGCACTAGAAGCTGTGAAAAATGCCACAAATGAGCAAGATCTAGCCAATCGCTTTAAGGAATTTGGGAAGGAAATGGTTAAACTGAACTATGTTGCTGCAAGGCGACAGCAGGTGAGTACAGGAGTGGCTGGAAAAGTCCATCTTCATTCTAGAGTTCTCCTCTTTTATGTCCAGGTCTGGTTTAAAATGTACAATGAACCACTAATTGCTATGTCATGGCCTATAATTTAATTGCACTGATTATTTTTGAATGTGATGAAGTTTTTCAGAAGTGCCATTTCTTTAAAAGTACCTTCCAAGAGGCCTCAATTAATAACAGATTGAAGGGTGAAAAGGGAAGTGATTCAGGAGGTTGAGGATAGTTTCAATTCGATGATTATTCCCATTTAATTCTAACCTATGCAGATTTCAGGTCACTCTGACAGCTGGTAAAGCACGAGCTCTTTGCTAGTTCAGTATAATTCAAGTTCAGGAGGAACAGAAATCTACTTTGTGCTTAAAACCATTATTAATAATTTTCAGATTTTTTAAAAAAAATATTCATTTATTCATTTGTTCATTGCTAAGGCAGCTGAAAAAGAGGCCAGAAATTCATGATAACATTTATTCAAGGATGGTTATTGTACAACTTTGCAATAAAGATAGCTTTCCCCTGAACCCTGCTCTTTTCAAGATACTGTAGACTTGTATAAGGTCTCTCCAACTTCAATTATATTTGAATACCACCAATAATTCAAGGATGTGCCATCTTTGTACTGCATTGAACACTGGATTTGGAAAGCTGGCTTTCCATATTCATCCACCTATTTACCTTATTTTCTGAATTGCAGTAATGACAATTTTCTTCTGAATCATGATTGTGGGGCTTTTTTATGAAAAATAGTCTTTTTAGAGTTATACTATATTGAATCATTGAATATCTCAAGTTGGAAGAGACCTGTAAGGATCATCAAGCTCATCTCCCTGCTCCTTGCAGAACTACAGAAAGCAAATCATCTGACTAAGGCAAATAAATTAAAATGTAGAATCTAGGCACTATATGGAGAATGCTCTTCTGTACATTCAGACACTTCCCCTGTGGAAATAGATCTGAAAATATGGGAAAAAGGGAAAATGTGAAAGTTAATGGATGTTTATATCTCTTAAGTTTTCATTGAAGACACAAGAATATGCCAAAAATTCTCTCTGAAGACTGTTACCTGTCAGCCACATGTGGTTGAAATTAATCAGTGGGTAGAACCTTTAAATCCAGAATATTTGGGTCCTTTTTCAGTGCTGTCAATGGATTCCATGTGTGAATATAAACTGTACAGCTCTCCAGACTGGTTTGTTCATAGTTTTAAAGTGGAAGTAATAATATTTTTTTATTTCTAATGAATATTAGGAGGGCTGTCCTAATGTTTGTAAGGTTTTCAAGGACAATATGATCTATACTATGATACAATATGATATACACTGTAACTGAAAAAAAAATCAGGGGTTATTAATAATAATAATACATAATTCTGATAACATATTGTGCAGTATCTGATTTTTGTCACAGGAAACAAAAGAAAGTATCTGTCATATTCTAAATATAAAGACTCTAAATGATATGAGAAATTGAGCAAAATATGAAGGGAACCAAAATAGAAATATTGAGAGGCATATTTAGTAGGTTTTTAAGAACTGCAACCATATGGTGCTAGGTTATAGGTTGGACTGGGTGATCTCAAAGCTCTTTTCCAGCTTAGTTAATTCTTGTGATTTTTCTGTTAATTCCTATGATTCTATGATATTTGTCTATGTAATACATCTAATTTGATTTTTTTAAAGGTCTACCTTATGATAATTTTATAAAGGATGTGAATGTAGTAATTAGAAAAACAAGGCACTTGCTGCAACAGGAGTGTTGCCATTATGGAATCAGCAGAAGCAATCCAGTTGTTTGGGAAGAGTAATTTTGAATGTTTTATGCACATTTGTAGTGGGTTTTTGCAAAAGGGAAGTGACTCTTAGGTAAGATATTGCAAGCAGATTGTAACAGGTGTAGTGACACAGAAGGACTCGATGTCCTTGGGCAGGAGGGGAATTCTTTCAGTGATTTATGGTGGGTTCTGCCATGGATTCCATCACTGCACGGCGTCCATGCCCGGATGCTCCAGGCAGTGCATTCCAACACAAACCCTTTCATTTCCACCTCTGTGTGCTCTCACGCAGGAGCTGAAGGATCCTCACTGCAGGGACGAGATGGCGGCGGCGCGCGGGGCTCTGAAGAAGAACGCCACCATGCTGTACACGGCCTCGCAGGCCTTCCTGCGCCACCCCGACGTGGCGGCCACCAGGGCCAACAGGGACTACGTCTTCAAGCAAGTGCAGGAGGCCATTGCTGGCATCTCCAACGCTGCCCAGGCCACCTCACCCACTGATGAGAACAAGGGCCACACTGGCATAGGAGAGCTCGCTGCTGCTTTGAATGAGTTTGATGTGAGTATCAGCAGAGTGTTACTGGAATAATTACCAATATAGCTGGATGGGATGTTCCTGAGCTTGTCTGGCCCTTGGTGCTCAGCCAAAAAGTGGCAACTGTGGTGTTTTACCCCAGAGATACTATAGGCTAGCTGGATGTTGCAGCTGGGTGCTTGGAGACAAGTACAGGCATGCAGGAGCTCAGGTTTCCCTCTGGTGGAAAAGCTTTAAGGCAATGGTGAAGGAAAGGAGTTGGTTCTGCTGGAGGGTTTTGATTCACAGCTTTATTCTGGCCCACAGGCCTCTGAATCCAGCAACAGCTCCAATAGAACTCTCTGAACCACATGGTTTGCTCTCCCTTTAAACTGGGGGAGAGGGGGAGGGAAGGAATACAGGGACCACCAACAAGGTACCGAAGGGGAGGTCTCAAGGGACAAAGGACACCTGGATGGCCCAATGTCCCCAAGGGGTAGAAGGCATCTTTTGAATTCTGCCAATCACTCAATGCCCTTCTGGAATGCCAGGATTGACAGACAGTGCTCAGCAGGGGTCAGGGTGTGGAGAGGAGAGGTGATGGACATGCCTGGGGAAGGAATCTTCAGGGAGAAGCCCGGGGTATCTGAGGCAAACCATGACATCTCACTGTGACATCACACTGCAACAGGGTGTGGAGAATGAGGTGTTTCTCCACACAATCTATAGAGCTTTTAACTAAGTTAACTAAGTTGTTCTTATACAGGACTCAAATTCCCCTTTTCATTCACATCCATTTCCTCAGACTGCAGAGGTATAGTAAATCAAGCCACCATTGCAGGGAGGAATGACACATCTGACTTTATGGATATTAGAAGGCTAATTAATTACTTTATTATACTTATTACTGTATTATTTTATCCTATATTACACTATATTTAAACTGAATCTGCACAAGCACTCAACTCAACTGCCCAGAATCTTGTGACTCTCTACTGACCGACAGTTTGGATACGTGCTTGGCCATGATAGGCCAAGGAAACAAAACACCATCACTCTGGGTAAACAATCTCCATTTTGCTTTCTACTTTGGTACAATACAGGAGCAGTGAATGATATAAGAATTGTTTTGATTATTCTTTTTTCTGCTTTGCTGACTGCTTCTCAGGTTCAGAGAGTGCGAATCCCACATGGAGGCAAAGGGCAGACATCGATTTATATTGGTTTTGGTGAGGAATAGTTGTTTCCTGCTAATGGACTGGAATTACAAGGAGTTATTTGTGCTCATATGCAGTGGCTGGGATAGTGAGAAAAATAAATTCTTGTTATCCTTAGGATCCTTGACAAATCTGACTACATGGCTCTAGAAAATGCAAAGTCTGATTAATCTGGCAGTTTGGTTATGTGACCAAGATCTGAGGTTGCTTGAGTGGTAAAATCATGTTTGTCTAGCAAGTCAGGAAGACAAGAAAAAAAAAAAAAAGGAAAATGGTGATGGAGCTCAGTGTCCTGGAAACATTAACATTCAACTTGAATCTTGAATTATGTTAATCAAAGACATGGAAAAAGCATCTTTCAGACAGAGTTGATAGCAGTCAGTTCAGCTGTGGGCAAAGTGCTGCAGCCTCTGTTCCAGCAAGAGATACAGTTTCACTTAAGCAACTTTCCTGACAGCTAATTGTTTAGCTGTTAATTTCATTAGCAGTCCTGTCTGATGGTTTCTCCCTATCTCACATGTGAGGATTGTACTTCAGGCAGTGAACAAAAAGGTTATTGCAGTCTCTGACAGACAGTCTCTGACAATATTTTCATCTTTCATTTTGACTTAAGGCAAAGACTTGTTGAGGTTATTATTGGGTAATGGTGTCCTTTTCACTTTGATTAAGACACAAGGTTGCAATGCCAGCATCTGTCACATCAGGAGCTGCTCAGTCCTGCTGCATTTAGGGCTGAAAGTGGAGCTGTAGTGCAGGTGGTTCATCTCACAGCATGTTGCACTGGGCTTCTCTCCTCCATCTATTCTTACATCTGTGGCTTTTCCTGCACAGTTACTGTGGGATAAGATTTGAGGAATTCCTCAGGGTTTTCTCAGCCCACAGGTCCCTGGTTGGGAAGATCCTGGGAATAACATCCCTGTGTGGTCTGATTGTGCTCCAGCTTTTGTGTGGGACTTTGCACATTATGGACAGCAAAGGTTTGACAAACAGGGACAGAAAACATGTGACTTCTCAGTCCCAAACTGATGATGCTGCTGCTGCCTTCTGGAAAAAGGGCTGTTGTTCAATGCAAAGAGAGTGGCTGTGCTTAGTGAAAATCAATGTAGTGAAGACTGTGCAAGACATCAGATATTGTCCCCTGCCTGAATAAGAATATTCATCCTTTTTCTCAGGTAAAGTCTTTTCCACTTTCAGTGATGGTGCAGGAGCCATGCATGTGTGTGGGAGATGTGTAGCCATAGTACAGTGTTCTGTTCATAACTGTGTGTGGGAAAACAGCCTTTTTGGGGAATTCTCTCTTATTTTAGGAAACTAAATGAAAACTTTGACTTATGAGGATATAGATACTGAAACAATTGTATTATCCATTTTCTAACTCACTGCTTAGCTGTTGAATGAGATTTATTCACACCTAATTTTGCAACAAAGATGACATTCCTTAAACTCCAGGGAAAGTCAGAATTTATAGCTGGTGATGGTGGGATGATTGTGAATTTACGTTTTACAAGGAAGAAAACAAGCAATATTAGCAGACTAGTGGAACTGTGTCATGAGTTAAAAGGTGGTGGAGAAAAAACATTGCTTTTTATAGTGGCACTATATTACTTCAGCAAGGGAAAGGAACTTTGTATATTCTAATGAAAATAATTTTACAGAATATTTATTTCACAATCTCAGTCATAATAATAATTTTATATTTTGTAGAAGTGCTTACTGAACCCTGCATTATCTGCCAAGATGAGGATTCTGTATTAAAAATAAGTTTACAGTTTTTTTCCATTATTTTAACACTTCTCAGCCTTCATTATTTCTGATTTTGGAATCAGTGTTATGTGGCTTAGAGCTTCAAATAGCTGCAGTGTGAATAATTTGAACATTTTCTCAGTCAAAATATCATCACATAAAATACAAATAATTATTCTACGTCTTTGAAGCACAGCCATTGTGTTTAACTAGGTCTTTGGATAATTGTCTCACTCTATACACTGGGGGGTTGTGTAGAGTCACCTGTGAGTTATTAGCAGCAAAGTTTTGAAGGTAGTTGTCATTTATTGCTTCTCAGAGATAACAATTTATGTAGAAATAAGGAGAGCTCACAAATCTGTTCCTTAGTAGATTTTTTTCCTTTAAATTCCTATTTGAAGCTGATTGATGACAAAAGAATGTGTTTAATGCCTTGTTGCTTTGTCCTTTCACTTCCATGTTGCTGCTTTACTCTTAGATCATTTAAAAATAGGTATTTCTGGTCTTACTAGTAATTTATTTATTAAAATTTGGCATATATTTTACGCTCATGAAATATCTCTGAGTCCTTAATGAAACTGGGGGTGCACAGTTTATTTCCCCCTCATGATATTTAGCCAAATTTATGGAAGTTGCATAGATAAATTTTTGAAGAACTTACTTTGAACTCTGAAAAGGCTCTGTTTGCACTCAGGAAATGGCAGTTTTGATCTGGTAAGCTCTCATCTGGTTATGGAGGGACTGCTTTGTTGGCACATGTTAAACTGTGGGATGGCTTTATCTGGTGTCCTCCCCACAGCCCTCATGGTGAGCAGCAGAGACAGGACCTCCACATGAAACTGGACTGTGGTGGGGAGGGAGATAAAAAGAGAATGAAATTATTGAGTGAGAAGAAATGCAATAGGAAGGACCAGGAAAGGATGAAAACTGAGATGAAGATAGATGGCATTGACACTGATGTGTGTTTGGGAACTGCAAAGGGGTAAAAATATATGAGGCTATAAAAATCTATATTTATATCTAGAAATAAAGAAAGGAATAACTTTGTTCAGGGAAGGGGCCAGAGCTGGGGAAGGAACAGCTGAGGGAGCTGGGCAGGGGCTCAGCCTGGAGCAAAGGAGGCTCAGGGGGCCCTTGTGGCTCTGCACAGCTCCTGACAGGAGGGGACAGCCGGGGGGGTCGGGCTGTGCTCCAGGGAACAGGGACAGGACAAGGGGACACAGCCTCAGCTGGGCCAGGGAGGTTTAGATTGGAAATCAGAGAAGTTTTCTTCACCCAAAGGCTTGTCCAGCCCTGGCACAGATGCTCCACCATTTGCTGTGGTGGAGTCCCCAAGCCTGGGGGAATTGAAAAGCCATGGGGATGTGGCACTTGGGGACAGGGCTTATTGGTGGCCTTGGCAGGGCTGGAGTTTACTGGATGATCCAAAGGAGCTTTTCCAATCCAAACAATTCTGTCATTCCATGATTGTCTGTGCCACAGCAAGGGCTGCACACAGATTGTTGGGAAATGTGTTCTCCATGATGGAATAGAGAGGGGGCAGTGACAGGAAAATAGGATTTACTGGGCACTTGGTATCTCTGGTGAGTAGGAGGGTGCCTGCTCTCAGAATATGGACTGGGATTACAATTCCTGAGTCCCAAGGAGTGGAGCTGTGTCAGTGGGATGTGCTGACAACACCTCAGAAGTGCTAATCACAGTGGAAATTCAGATTCTAGGGCTTTCAGACCTACAATTCTTTATATTTTAGGCAATTCTAAATAGTTTCCCTTAGATTTGGATATGAAAAATGAGGGCAATCATTCTTGTACAGTGCTGGGAGGGTGGGTGTAACAGTGTTGTAAATATAAAGCTGTTTACTATGCATGCACCATAACTCCATAAAAGGATTATTCCTGTGTTTGAAGCAAGGCTTGAATTATCTGCAATAAAATTAAATAGAATTTATAAATCCTCTGACTTAGAGAGGGGAGGAGAAGATATCTAAAGGAAAAAAGGACCAAAACCCCTTTCCTCCACTGATGCCAAAAGCAAATATCTGTTTTTTTCTGTATTGCTCCAGAAAGAACTGATGAGATGGCTTGG